GGGATATCCACGAGATATTGTCTTATTTGAGACAAAGTCGGTGCACTTCACTCAAAGGATGGTCTTCAAACACTTTTCGTCAAATACCTCCAGTTTTCGTTTATCGTTCACGTTCATAGCCCAGAATTACCACTCAGAGAGAAAGACAGACCAGACGGATGCACGGTACACACGAATTTTCGTGGCGGTGCAGATGTCGTATCGGATCCCGAGACACTGCCTAAGACATATGAAAACTATGTACATTGCATCGATTCGGCAGACATTGTCATCTTTACTCTGGCCATTCGGCAGACACCTCGTTCTGAGGAACTTAAAAAATTGTCCACTCCTTCAAGTTGACAGCCACCAATCTCGAGAGGTACCTTCTCTTGGGCAGGCATGCAGCATGAAAAAAAAATTGGCCTCACCAGCCTTTATGGAGAAACCGTCCGACTTTATGACCTAATTCCCCCGTGATACCATAGAACGTAGATCAGAAAAGCTTGATGCTACTAAGCCGATAGCATTGACATCCGTCAGCCGGTATTCGGGTGCAAGCTCCGGAGGTGAATATGTGAGCTTGCAGAAAAAATCAGAAATATATGGTTGCCAGAAGGAGAACTGTATGGACCCTGGCCTTCGAAATCAACATTTCTTATTTTATGAGACTTAATTACTCTGAATTGGACTGAAGGGACGGTAACTTTCAAAACATCCGCCGGATTTTCTTGTCTTCATTTTGTTTCGTTAAATTTTAAGGCAAAGCAGTAAGCCACAGTGACCTCATGAGGCGCGTCCTTAACCAAGAAGTGGGTCCCGCTACACATCAAAATTAACAGATAACATAATATCACGGCGAGGGTCAAGTTTCCGTTTTGCCAGTCTCCGCTTTGCGCTGCAGTTTCCTGCGCATGTGACCTGCTTCAGCCGTACAAACTGGCATGTTTGACATTTTACTGGAATAATTGCAGGCCTCGGAAGTTTTAATTTTGCCACAAATCTTTGTCTGTGCTTTCACTGATGCCTGCCAAACTTTGGGTAAATAAGCGCAAATATACGTTATCAGGACGCTCACAGATCAGCTTACGATACTTGACCGTCCCACTGTGCTTTGGGGCTTACTCTAGAGCCGTCACACTCATACCGACAGCCAACCATAAGCAATCATAGGCTTGGGCATACTTGCGACAAGAACTCGCGTTCGAATGGTTACTATCCGCAATTATGAAGTCGTGCCCTCTCGATTTCTATTCACCATGGTAAGTGGCGAGCATTATTCGTTGTTAGGCACTTGAACTTTCCGTTAGGCTTATGGGTTCGATTAAAGGCCCCGTAATCAGTCGCACAGCGACTTGTCTTATACGTAGAATGACAGATGAATATGCAATTCTCAAGCTCTTGTTACAAAGCGGTCTAATATTTGGTCACACAGCCCAGTCTTTGGACTCGACGTCTTTATTTCCCGTGTATTTACTACATGAAACTGACGTATGGTCTTTGAGACAAGCCTGCAGGTATTCTTGTTAGGAATTTTTGTTTTATTTGACTGCTTTCAGCGCTGCAAGTCTTTCTCCTAACTATCTTTTTCATCCGATAGGAACAGCAATTCTCATCCTGAGAGGAGCACCTCTTCGCATACCAGCCTGTGCCTTGTTTGTGGCGCAATCGCGTCATTTCATAACTTGGATAAGTACG